GGCCGATCCCAATTGGTATAGAAGGGTGGCAGCTCAGGGGCGAAAGCCTAGCATGGGCCGATCCCAATTGGTATAGAAGGATGGCAACTCTGGGGCGTAAGCCTAGCATGGGCCGATCCCAATTGGTATAGAAGGATGGCAACTCTGGGGCGTAAGCCTAGCATGGGCCGATCCCAATTGGTATAGAAGGGTGGCAGCTCAGGGGTGAAAGCCTAGCATGGGCTGATCCCAATTGGTATAGAAGGGTGGCAGCTCAGGGGTGAAAGCCTAGCATGGGCTGATCCCAATTGGTATAGAAGGGTGGCAACTCTGGGGCGTAAGCCTAGCATGGGCCGATCCCAATTTGTGTGACAATCTCAAAGATTTAAGAATCTAAGTAAAGAAATATGTATAATTAAGGGTGGCAGCTCAGGGGCGAAAGCCTAGCATGGGCCGATCCCAATTGGTATAGAAGGATGGCAACTCTGGGGCGTAAGCCTAGCATGGGCCGATCCCAATTTGTGTAATTATGAGGACCGCATCCCAGGGGTTAAAATGCCTAGCATAGGTCATCCTCTTCTACCACTGATCAGCTGGTCATTCGTATCACATGCCTTATAAAGATCATAACACACAAAAAGGTAAAGACAAGAATGTAACATACATGATCCCATAAGATTTAACAAAGGTGGTCTTCTGTTCTCATTTATGCACACATATATTGATACTTGGTTTCATTCAAACTCTTATTTTATATATGTTATTGCCTTACATATTCAGTACATTTTCTTGTAATAACGTCCCTCACAGGGGACGCTGCATTTCATGCTGCAGGCACAGGTACTTCAGCTAGTAGACCTCTTCGGTAGGAGCACACGACACTCAGGTACTTTTGGTGAGCTCCTGATTGATTCGGAGCTTTACTGAGTCTTTGGTAGATTCATTTTGGGTATTGTATCGTAGTTAAGAGTAAGGCGGGGTCTGTCCCGACCTACTCCTTAGTTTTCTATCTTTTAGAGGCTTTGTAGACTTATGTTTATGGTTCAGTTGCATCTTAACAAGTTGTGGCCTCAACAGCCAAGTCTTGTATATAAGTTTTGGGTCTACTTATGATGGTTCGTATCGCTGCATCCTATGTGAACTTGTCACAAGAGTGTCATAGTTATATGCATAGTAAGCACAGGTTACATGTTGGTTCTCTCAGGCCTAGAGGGCATCGGGTGCCTGTCCGTCTAATGGGATTTGGGACGTGACAAAAGTGGTATCAGAGCAGGTCATCCTAGGGAGTCTACAAAGCCGTGTCTGTGTAGAATTTTGCTTATGGATGTGTTGTGCACCATATTTATAAACAAGAGGTTACGGGACATAAAGGAGTTGTCTCCTTTCTTTCATTTCTTAGATCGTGCGATAGAACCAGTGTTGTAGGCGTATCATATCTAATTTCTAAATTGTTTTATTATAGCAAGGATGCCGGTTACGAGAAGGAGCAAAAGTACTAGTAAGCGAGTAGATGTGGCTGCCCAAGAATGGACCAGCCAACCACCACCTAGACAAGCTATACCAGGTGAGGCTCAAGATGAGTCTCCCTCACAGACTTCCCCGACCCCTCCATATCCAGAAGATCTTTCATGCCAATTAGTAGGAAATCGAAAAGCCTTACATACCTTCTTGTACCACCTTGTACTTACCTTGAAGTACCTTCGTTTCTTTACATATACTTATCTACAATAGAGTAGGTGATAAATTAGTATTTGTATAGTTGCTGGCCATGACCAAAGGCAAGAAGGTCCAGTTGCAGGTACTAGTGGTGTAGATAGAACAGTTGGCTCGCGGATACATGATTTCCTTAATTTGGACCCTCCATCATTCCCCTAGTCAGATCCTAATGAAGATCCACAAGACTTTTATAGATCAGATCAAACACACTTTCGATGTTATGCATGTAAGTGGTAAAGAAGCGCTCGAGCTAGCAGCATATAGATTAAAGGGTGTGGCTGTATTGGGGTATGAAGCTTGGAAGCAATCCAGGGGAACAGATGCACCATCAGCTACATGGAAAAAGTTCAAAAAGGCATTCCTTGACCATTACCTGCCATTAGAGATCCGAGAGGCCCGTGCTGATCAATTCTTAAAATCTCCACCAAGGAAGTATGAGCGTGAGAGAGTACAATCTCAAATTTAATTCCTTGGCCAGGTATGTTCCTAATCTAGTAGCTACTATGGGGGATAGAGTTCATCAATATGTGGATAGATTAGATTCATATCTGGTTAGAGACTGTACCATTGCTTCGTTGAATAAAGATATGGATATAGCAAGGATGCAAGCTTTTGCGCAAAAGTTGGAGGATCGAAGGCAAAGAAGGACTCAAGAGTCAAAAATAGGGCATTCTAAGAGGGCCAGATCCATGGGGCAGTTTA